CTCCCTGGGCAGCCTGGGCCAGGGCTCCGTCACCCTCAGAGGGAAGAAGTTCTTCCTCGGGTTCAGCTGGAGCTTCCGCTGCTCCAGTTTGTGCCCGTTGCCCCTTGTTCAGAGGAAACCCGGGGAAAACCTCCCCTACACCAAAATCCGCATCCTGGCACGGTGCTGGGAGGGTGGCAGGGCCGACGCTGGGCTTTGCTCGTGGCGCTGGGTGCCATCTCCATCTCCCAACGCCGACAGTGAACTCGGCGCCGGCTGCCGCGCGGGCCATCACCTCCCGCCCCTTCTGCTGGACTCTCTCCAGTAGCTCCTCATCTTTCTTGAATTGGGGAGCCCAGAACTGGACACAGCACTCCAGATGAGGCCTCACCAGGGCAGAGTAGAGGGGAAGGAGAACCTCCCTCGACCTGGCCACACTCTGCTTAAAGCATCCCGGGATCCCATTGGCCTTCTTGGCAGCCAGGGCACACTGCTGGCTCATGGTCAACCTGTCATCCACCAGGACACCTCGGTGTGTGGTGGCTGTTGGGGACACAATGCGGTGAATGCCACTGCAGCCGGCACCGGCAGACGAGGAAAGGACTGCCGTGGAGCTGCAATGGGACCGGGGTGATCACCCGGTGTGTGCTTCACCAGGGAAGACGCTGAGCTGCTGCCTTGTGTTTATCCAAACCCAAACACCTCCAGCAACAATTAATCCTGGGACCTTTGCAGGCCATTAAGGTGATTTTGAAAGGCTGCAGGGATACCGTGTCCAACAAAATGGTGCTCTTCCCAACAGCTTTAACTCCTTTGAACGCAAACATTTTTCAAATATCAGATGCTGGTACTAGCAGGATTGATTTAACATGCTGTGGTTTAGCATCCGTCCCCGCCCCCCTCCCCAAAACAAAACCCCAATCACATTTCTGCAACTTGTTCTACCTCAAGATCCCAATCAATATGTTTTTATTATTAATAAATAATACATACATTAAGTTGTTCTAGTGACTATGTGCCAAACCACCAATTTCAGTGAGACCTAGATCAGTCCTACCACCTCGCCAGAAATCAAATTTCTAGAAAGAAGCTATCCAAAGTAAATAATTAATATCCTTTTCCTTATAAATGAACATTATTCAGTAAGAGCAAATTATTTTAAAAGTCTGTTTAAGAAAAAAATATGGATGCTCCCAAAAGAAGATCGTGTTGCTTCCGCACTGACAGATGAAAAGTCCCACCGTGGGCCATGGGGAGTGGCTGATACCAAAGGCTGAACCACCTCTAGCATCAGGGATCCCTTTCCCAGCTGGATTTAGAGCCTAGACATGATCTCAAGCTCTCCAGCCTCACCACACTTGGAGCCGCTAACTGTTTTTTGTGCTGTAGGTAACTTATTTCTCAACCTTTTTTGCAAGTTCAGGAAGATTTACCCTCACTCCCTTTGATCAGTGCTCGTCCATTCGGTTCGCAGCTACACATAAAAGGCAGGGACACCTCTGCTGTTACAAAACTCTTCACATCTTATTTCGTCCTTCCTCCTCTTTCCCGCAACATAAAAAGCTTCTTTCGCAGTTGATCAAGTCCCTCTGCTAGTACCAGCTAAAAACAGGAACCAAACTTAGAGGAACTCTTGCAGGAAAGCAGAAGAATTTTCAAAATAAGTTATTCAAAGCTAGAAAAGAAAAAAAAAATCTTCATTTATACACACAGAACTTGTTAAAACACCCTCCCGGTCCCCACGGGACCAGACCAGAGTCCTTCACCTGCTGTCAGACAAAATACTCTCAGGCAAATATATTTTAATGCAAAGGAATTTTGTTCTCTGGTAATTAACAAATGGTTAATGGAAAGATAAACTGATTGAGAAAACAGACAATTTATGGTCCAAATTCTTCTGTCCTTCCTGGCGCACATGCTCCCATTAATTTAATTCAAGTCTCACTAGCGGTCAGATTTATGAAGTAATTTAGTATCCAGACTTAAGAGAGAGGAGTAGACCACGGTAAGCAAAGACACATGGGTCTGCTAAGAAAGAGACAACTACAATTCGATTACAAATAGTAAAATATATTAAATGAAAGATAAAGGAATTTCACATAACTCCAGCACTAAGTGTACCCTCTTTCACCAACATACCAAAAAAGAAACGAGTTTTAAAAATGACAGACGGCAGTTCATCCAGCCTTCAACACAGACCAGGCAACTTGCAGCTCTTCTTCTCAGCTTAGATGAACCGAGCACTTGCTCCCTTGACTGTCCGTACGGAATAAATCACTGCTAAAAATGCACTAACACATCAACTCTGTGTGACAAAGTCCCCAGACCTAATACCTGAAGAGGACCTGGCCTGCTGCTTCAATTTGATATGCTCTTCCCCTTGCTGTTCTTTATCCAAATCGACCCATTCTTATTTAGGATTTAGATCCTAAAACGTATTTAGGATGCAGCTATGTGGTAGGACTGCCCCAGTCTATCAGCTCAGTACTGCTAAAAAAGGGGGGTCCCAAGCAGCTCCCCATCTCAAGCCAAGCACTTCTGCACCCTCCATTGTTCAACCCTTGTATAAGTCATGCAGTGAGGCAGCTCGCTCACCAACCCGGTAACCCAGCCAAAAATGAGCCCAGAGGCCATTTGCTTGCAGGCTAACGAGAAGCCGTGGTCGCTTAGCAAGGCGAGCGCTGGACTGGCACGCCGGGAGCCTGCGATTCATCTCACCCGTCTACCCACACCCTCCACCATTTGAATGGGAACCGAAGACGTTCCTGAATTCACAGCAATTAACTAACCACACGAATGCAAAAAAAATGTATTTACTGCTGGGATGGATAACCCAGTTCTAAGCAGCGCGATCCAGCAGCGTGCAGAGATGAGCTGCAGTGGTGGGTGCACACAGTTCAGGTTGCAGAGGCTTTTGGGTTGTCCCTTGTTATTATTTCCATCCTCCTGTTTTGCCATTTGCAGGCAGTATCCAGTGAATTCCCGCAAAGCCTTGAAGTTGTTCCCTAAACTTTGTGTCACAAACGCGAATTGCTTAGAAATTGGGATTTTTAGTTTTTCCAGTGTGGAAGCAGACGTAGCAGAGCAGGTCAGGACAACGAAGAAAGTTCTTCTTCCACTGTATGAAAGACAGAACAGCTGGAGTCCGCTCAGCTTTTTACTACGTAAAGCACAGTGGGATATTCAGATCTCTGCACCTTGCCATTAATTTTTATCTTACAAGAGAGAAACAATTTATGGAGGGGAAGAACATGCCACTGCATGATCTGTAGGCTCGGTGAGCTTTGCACCGTTTTTAATAGAGAAGTCGTAGAGATCAGCGAGTTTCTGCTCCAGCAGTCGCGTTCTTCAGGTTCGTAACTCTTCCCAATATTTTTTTTTTAAAGAAACCAAAGACTTCACTTCCTCTACATTTGAAGAACATTTGAAGCAGGGAATATTAATGTTGGTGTAATTCCATTTGGTGTTACCGCAACTGCAGGTAAGACAGAGTCTGTCTGAAAGGTGAGGACCAGACATCCACTTCGATTCAACCAGCATAGTCAAACACCAGCAAATCGCACTTCTTTTTCTTTGAAGACTGTTGCTTAATTGCAGCCAAGTATGATCTTAGTGATGAAAACTTGGGACAGTGTAAAAAATTCTCTGCATGATTTAACATCCTCACCTCACCAGCTTGGTCTGGGGAAGGCCTGTCACCATATAGAAGTAGATATGCTTGTATATAGACCGTATACCACTAACACGGGAGGGATCTTTAAAGAGTGTTTTCATTCGCTGGAGCTTTGCTATTCTGCCTTTAAAGTAGGGAGGGAAACTGTGTTAAAACTGATCCATTTTCCATCTGTATCGCCATCAACTCAACAAAAGTACAAGCACAAACTCCAGCAGCTGTACTCAAACCTGCCCGAGTTCTCGGTGTTTATTAGGAAGCTACGAAGCATTTCAGCTTTCAAGAATGTGTGCTAGGGGAGACATATTTAGGGGTAGATTTTTCAAAACCACAGATTTCAATTTTGGCCAGAAAAATTGAGCTAAAATCTGGGGAAGTCCAACTTCTAGCTTGTTTTGAGGTGGGAAGAAAAGGACATAAAGTTGCTCTGCATGTCCCTTAACCGTAAGAGCAAAGTCATTGCAGAAACAGACTGAGCTATACAGCTATATTCCTCCCGTAGGAGTACTTCTACAAAGAGAAATACGAAGAAATACACTTTTATCAGGGTAATTTGTCTTTGCAAATGCACTTGGAGGAACATTTTAGGAAAGACTACTTGTCATCTGCCTAAAGACTTCCAGAGCATACATCCAAAGTTTTACCGATGCAGGAAACAGGTACGCAAACTTCAGGGCTCACGCTCCAGAGCTTTAAATAAATCAAACTGTTACAAGCGATTCACTTCTGACACGAAACCTAACCTGTATTTATTCATGAGGAAACTTCATGTGCAAAGGGAGAATGAGAAGAGCTCCTCAACTTCAGCATAGCAACACCCCCCGTTACAAACACGTGGCAGAGTTACACACACTTTATTAGTTTCAGTAATAGTCCTCTTGCACAGAAATCGGATAACAGTTACAAAACACCATACACAAGTTTTGATGTTATTCAAAAGCTTGCAACAGGTGAAGTATCTTCAGTTCTGCTGCAGAACACAAACCTTCCCAAGGGCTGTATTCAGCCAAGCGATCCAGCGCTTTGCTCTAGGAATCTGCAGTCCAAGGAAAACCCCCAGGCTGTGACGGCTGGCGCCAGCCTACGCGTTCGGTTTCTGGGGAGGCTAGGTGTCCGAAACCACCACTTACAAATTCATTCCACGTTCCAGATGTTTGAGCATCTTTTTTTCTTGCTTTACAGAAGCAATGCTAACTGTACCTGGTACTCTTCCCCACTTTGCAACGGTTCTCTGCGTGTCACAGAAGAGAACTAATTTGGATATCAGAAACCCTACCACCATTTTTAAGTGCTACCTAACACCCTCCTCCCTGATGTCTTCATACAGAGCTCGCTAACATTATCATTTTCACTTTTTCATTGGAATTTCTATTGTCATAAAATCCTCGGCTAGTATTACTTCTTGACCATCTAACGCTGACTCTGCCTGCCTCTTCAGTTCGGTGACATCTGTATCTCCCTCACCTCTCTCAGCAGCTGGTTTATACCGCTGACTGAAGTGAGTCAAAACCAGCTTCTTAACTTTGCACAATTTTGCAAGGTCTGATGCCATTTTTGGAGTGCTATGACCATGCTCTCTGGCCTTTTCCTCTTGGGTATCGTCCAGCGTGGCTTCATGTATCAGCACATCTGCTTCACAGCAAAGCTTCACGGCCGCATCTCCAACCACTCCTGAACAATCCCCCAAAACGCAAATTTTTCTCCCGGGAATAGGGTCTTCTAAGACATCTGCAGGAGAAATTGTTACTCCGTTTTCTAGCACGATTGCTGTTCCGTTCTTCAGTTTCCCATATAACGGACCCGGCTGAACTCCTGGTAAATAAAGGCAAAAGACGGTAAGCGTCAGGTTTATAAAAAAAAATCACCTAAGAAGAGACAGGCTATATATAGAGCTGTCTCACTGAAAAAATACAACCTGAATATAAATAGCAATTGGTATTTCACATACTTCATGTAAATAAAGAGCTTGTAACATTAGCAGGAAGTGTTTGAAGAAAAGCTATATCCTTCATATAAAAGTCAATAAAGTCAAGCAAACACACTGGCCATACATTTCCCCAAAGGCCACGTTGTGCTTTTTAAACTTGTTCTGAACTTGTTTGCTCTTCCCGGTATCAGAATGGTCTGCAATATTAATCGGCACTGGTGTTACACCAATTCAGACTGCTGCATTGGTATGAGTATGACAATGCCTTTAATAGAAAATGGAAAATTGAATTAAAATAGATTACGGAGAGATACAGCAGCTCTACTTTGCTAGAAGCCCTAGAAAGGCGGTCGTAAAAAGCCTGTAACTGCCTGTGAACCCAATTTTGTTACATATGCTGAAAATCGGAGTCGCTACTCAGCTTGAACACATGCATCGAGGCGTCTTAAAAAAATTAAAAAGAGGAAAAATATGTCAAAATAGTTACCAAGGTCTTTCAGTTTCTGCACATTGAGTTTCCCAGTCCGGGGCTTCTCTTCCACCACAAAGCCAAAGGAAGGAACGCGGTGAAACAGGCGAAACGCTTTCAGAACCACTTGCTCATCCTCCACCAGCAAGTAGGAGTTTTCCACGGGATCCAGGTGGAGAACCCTTCCTTGCGCTTCCTGCGGAGACACCTCATCCCCGTCCAAGGAGGAAAACTCTCTAAATTCTTCCTCGTAAGAGAAGCTGTGAGTGGGAGAGCTCCATGCTCCTCCGTATGAAGTTCCGCAGCCCTACCGGTCCGTAAATGTCGACGGGTGGTTTGGTCGGGTCAGGGCTGCTTTGGAGGCTGAGCGTACACAGCAGGCCAGGAAGGCCAAAGAAATGGTCACCGTGAAGATGAGTTATGAAAATCTTGGTAATTCTGCCTATTGATTAGAACAACAGGGAAAGAAAAACAAAACAGGGAAAGACAGGAAAATAAGCGAACACCTTACCGACTCAGAAATCATCACTTTTTGGCATGAAGTAGGAAATAAGGCAGGAGGGAAATTAAAATAAAACCAGTGTTTAAGAAATAAATCCCAAACCACAAGTATTTTTATTCTCCACGGTAGCGATAAGTTTCCACACAAGGTTTATTTTGGCTTGATTTATCCAGGAAAGACTGCCGAGACAGAAGTTTTACTCCCCTCTAAGCAAAAGGTGCTACAGGCACGGAAGAGAATCGACTGGTGACACCTGCCGTGTTAGAACGCGAGGAAGTGCTGGAAAGTGGTTGTGCTTTCATACGCTACGTGAAAACTGCAGACTAACGAGAAACATGAAGTGGAATTTGTGTTGTTCCTAGTTTTCAATATAGCAAATTAAATGAACATAATTAAAATAAAATAAAATAAAATAAAAAATCCAGCCTTTTGATTTCAGAGGTTTTTTTAAAAGGCAAGAACCCCACAGTTCCTCACCAGTTTGTTTTGAAGAGACAAGAAATTGCACTTCAGCATTTGGGCTTTTGTTTCGCGCTTGAGTTTGTCTCACTCCAGCTCCCCGGCTCTGGACCCTGCCCTTGCCAGCTTAAAAAAGCCCAGAATTTTCTCTCATTACAGACACGTGTACTTTAATCAGGCTGCCTCAGTCACCTCTGCGAGCCAAGTTCCCGCTTCCTTGTGGTAAGGCATTTTCTCCAGCATCTGTTCGGACCAAGCAATAAGGACAGAACCTCTGTTTTAAGAACAACTTAGTAAAAATAATTAAATTTAGTAAAAATTTGCCATTCACTTGGCCATTAAATCCCCTGATAGCTTCAGATTTGAGGGGAGCACAAGGTTGGTTTCCTGTTTGTAATTGGTAATTCCATATTTATAACTTGAGAGTCAGAACCCTGCTCCTGCCACAGCAGACTGCAAAAGCACAGCAACTGAAAGGAAGTCCAGTTTCTACTTCATTCACCAAAATGTAAAAGTTACCACGAATACAAGCATAGTATTTACTGACAGGAAGGCTCACAGCAGTTATTGTCCAGAGCTGTCTTCAGACAAACGCAAACCATGCCGGTTTAAAGCCGGTCTGTGGCCCACGTTTCACAGAATCACACAATGGTCGGGGTTGGCAGGGACCTCTGTGGGTCACCCAGCCCAACCCCCTGCCCAAGCAGGGTCACCCAGAGCAGGCTGCACAGCACCGCGTCCAGGAGGGTCTTGAATATCTCCAGAGAAGGAGACTCCACAGCCTCCCTGGGCAGCCTGGGCCAGGGCTCCGTCACCCTCAGAGGGAAGAAGTTCTTCCTCATCTTCAGCTGGAGCTTCCTCTGCTTCAGTTTGTGCCCGTTGCCCCTTGTCCTGTCGCTGGGCACCACTGGAAAGAGTCTGGCCCCGTCCTCCTGACACCCACCCTGCAGATATTTGTAAGCATTTCTAAGGTCCCCTCTCAGCCTTCTCTTCTTCAGGCTGAACAAGCCCAGCTCCCTCAGCCTCTCCTCGCAGGAGAGATGCTGCAGTCCCCTCGAAATTTTTTTTGAAATTACAAAGCCCAAGAAATTAATTCAGCAGAGTCTGGTTCTCAGACACAGTTCTTTACCAAAGGGCAATCAGGGACTACCGCACACAAGGTCCAGCACCTGCCACCCACACGCAGCACCTTCCGATGCTCAGGCATGGTTAGTGTGTATTCAAACACCACGAGGATGAAGTCTTTTGGTTAGATTTTACAAACGTGCTCCCCTTCTCTCCTCACGATACCTCTCAACAGCACAAACCTGCTTTGAGACGGCTCTTCATGAACTGGGTTTGAGTGCCCTCGCCGCAGTCGAAAAGCCAGCACTCTCCTTCCCGGCGCAGCACCAACGCCGACGCGCCTCTTGTTGGAGAGGGATACGCTGAGCCTGTGCCGAGAAAAGTTATATCCAGCGACATTCTCCGTATGTCGGTGCGCTGCCTGAAAGAGAGATTTCAAGCCGCTGAGCATGCGTGTTTATGCTGGGAAAGAGAGAAACTGTTTTGCTTTAAATGAAGGCATCCTCCGTACTTTAGCGCAAGGATCCAATTCCCCTTCCTTTATAAAATAAAACCTCCCTGGAGGAGGAGATAACTTCCAGACAACACAATATTTACAAGCAGATTTCCTTTCTGTGTCAGCGGAAAGTTGCGAACACGCAGCCCATACTGAAGACCTTTGCCCTTTACCTAAGAAATAGCCCTACCCAGCTGGACACGAATCTTTCAACCTGCTGTTAATCCTTTCTTCAGAGACCGCAAGAGGCAGAAGCGACCCGATTTTCTTCACCTTTGCAACGGGCATCCTTGAAAGCAATGGATGGTTGACTTCTCGCCAGTGTTAGGGGAAAAAATTAAGCCACTATCAAACCTTCACGCAGCCTTCAGGCTGCTTGTCTGACCATGGACACCTACGGCGGCAGAAGGACCGATATCATC